TTGAATATTGCTGCCATATTGTCCGATATAGTCCGATACTCCTTCTATATATTTACTAATTCTTGATTAAATCCAAAGAAAATTCCACAATGTTATTAGTTATAATCTGGCACTTCGGCTTCAGTCACTTTCTCACCCTCTTAATATAGCTTCCTTGCGTCTTTCTATAAATACTTCCATGGTAATTATTCTGATGAACTTTCCGCTATGACACGTAGATTTAATGAGAATAAGCGCAAAACCAGATTGGCAACAAAGTGTTATCAATTTACAGTTGGACTGCTAGCAGTTTCTTCTTTCTCATTTCTCTATTTGGAAATCTCTTCTGATTTTATACTTTCCAGCTAACACTGATCTTTAAAAATGTAATTGAAATGTGAATCGTCAAAAGCTGTCTTCTTGTTTCCTTTTCCCTTATTGTTCTTGATCCTTAATAATGTTTCTCTTTTCTCTTATTCTTTTTCAATCAGTAAAGCCTTATGTCTTCAGGGTAATTGTTCAGATGAGCGTCCCTCTTTGGAACATAGACTTTATCAACTTAAACGCAATACTAGCTTGGCGGTAGTTCTGTTCATTTTACAATTGAAATGGCTAGGTGTAACCGTAAGTTCTATGCTAACAGTTTCTTCTCTCATTTCTCATTTGTGGAACTTTCTTCCAGCTGCTTACTTCCCAGAAAGCTTAATTTCTGTTCTCTGTTTGATCTATTTCGCTCCCCTCACTTAATAAGATTTTCGTTCACACTCAGCAACCCCTTGTGTCTGTGCTGCTTGGGGTAAATGATAAAAAAAAAAACAGATTCCATATCACAAAGAAATTGTTTATTCTCTCTACCAATTTACCATTTCCCATTTTTTTCTCTTCCAGAAGAATTCAGTTATAACGCTGATATTTACTTGTTATTCCCGCTTATTTACAGGAAAATTCAATGAAATGATCTAACCTCATAAATCCTAATATATATTAACCTCATGAATCTTAGAGATGCTAATTAGACATTTAGTCTAAAAGCCTGAATGAATGATGCCCGTTCCGTTGACAAAAAGGATTGACTCCTCAGTTGATGATATCCGTTAAGGTCCACTGACAATAAATGGACTCCCTTATCTCACTAAATAAAAACTTTATTAAATTTGTCTATCATATTCAATGAAACTGTTTACGACGCCAAGGCGCTTTTGGCTATTCTTTTAGCCATTATCAGGGAGGAATATTATTTTACATTTAATTGAATATATGGATGTTTTATGTAACTAGAATTATATGAATATTTTATTTTCCAAACACAGCACATTTTGGCCCTGTTCTTAGTTTATTATTGAATGTTAACTTTTTGTTTTTGTTAATAATTCTTCCATTATTTTTAGCTATTTTTACAAGTGGGTTAGTGTATTACATTGGTATTATCAACGAGTATGTTAAGAATAGTGTTTATTTAAATGAGACCTGATTGAGCTATAGTCAGAGGGCTGTAATGTGAGTCTTCTTGTGAAGCATGTTGTTGTATATCCAATAAAATTATTTACGAATTTGGATTGTTCAGGTACACAATTCCTTAAAGGGCATGTGCATTCCAAAATAATGTTGATTCTCTGTCAATTGGTCGTGCAGGTGAGTTATTAATTTTAACAATGAGGAGAGCTGTTCTATTTTTTTATAGTAGATAATTAATGTAATTTTCCTGTTTTTGTTGACTAGAGTTATATATTTCTTTATAATGTTTCTATGTGAAGATTGACCTTGCTTATAGTTACCCCGCATTTCATTTTTAACTGTTACCGTTATTGTTTTTTTTTTCTGTATGTTCAGTGTTGTCATTGGTTACGCTATAAAGAAAAAGTCTAATATTGTAATCTATAAGATGGTTTGGAAACCGTTATTAACTTGCGTTTTTTCACTTTGATAAGTTCTTTAAAGAAAAGCGGACGAGAGGATGAATTTTTGTACCATCTCGTAGGGACATTTTTATAAGTCCTACTTTATATCTGAGAGGACATTGACAAGTAAAATTAAGTTGGCAATAATTTTTACTTGTGGTTTTTTTTTTAAATAACGAAGTGAATGTGTTTTTACTAGACTCCAAAGAACACCCAAGAACGGATTTTTTTTTATCTCAGTTCATAGGTAATGTTGAAGACGTAATTTTTTTCGAATGGAGTTTTGAGATAATCAATTTCATTGTTGTTCTCATGCCTAACAAAAAGACTCACGTTACATCTCTCTGATCATAGCACAATTAAGTCTTCTTTCAATACACATGGAGACCTACCTAACTCTATCCGCAACATCTATCCTCTATCCGCAGCATACTCGTTGATAATATATATATATATATATATATATATATATATATATATATATTATCAATTAACTAATTTAAAAATATGGTTCCATCGTTACACAGGAATTACCATATTTCAAAAAACAGAAACATGGTAATTCCTGTTTAGCGATGGAACCATATTTTTAAATGAATTAATTTATAATATTTATGCTCTGTAAATTTGCATTGAGCACTGTTCTGTAAAAATAAATATACTAATAAGAAACCGGATTATATATCTTACTGTTCTTTCTTTTATTATAATGCATATATATATATATATTTGTAAGCAAATATATGGATATAAATCCGACAGTATGAAAGAAAAATACAGAAAATACAAAAATCTGAATATGCATTTATGTAGTATTAATGTTAAAATAAAGTCGACGTCGGACGTTTCGGTCTATTTAAGACCATCATCATGGACATTTTCATTTAAACATAATTAACATTATAACTTATAAAAATTTAACACAAAAGACGATGGACATAAGAGCCCAAATAATTCACACAGATAACTGAAATTTTATACGGATCAGCGTTCTGTTTAAATATGATCACGTAGTCGTCCCGTGGGCGATGTTGTTAAAACGTATTCGAAGATGATTTCCAAAATTAAAATATTAAAAAGTCGATTGAAAAATTTTTATAAACAGTTCAAGAAATCTCTTCCGTTGATGTCGGAATACGTAGTGATCAATTGGTTCTTATAATAAGATATTAAACAGAACGCTGATCCGTATAAAATTTCAGTTATCTGTGTGAATTATTTGGGCTTTTATGTCCATCGTCTTTTGTGTTAAATTTTATGTTATAATGTTAATTATGTTTAAATGAAAATGTCCATGATGATGGTCTTAAATAGACCGAAACGTCCGACGTCGACTTTATTTTAACATTAATACTACATAAATGCATATTCAGATTTTTGTATTTTCTGTATTTTTTTTCATATATATATATATATATATATATATATATATATATATATATATATATATATATATATGTGTGTGTGTGTGTGTGTGTGTGTGTGAAAGATGTTTTGGCTTCAAAAATTACTACTTACACTCTGTCTTCATTTGGACCACCATTATTTCTTCGAATCATAATTGTATTTTTAATATCTATACTCTGTGAAACATGCTTGCCATATTACATTATTAGGGACAAACCATCTTTTCTAATAAACTATTTAAATTGCGTGGGTAACAATTAACTTCTAATAAATAAATTTTAAGTTTTAAATTTTGTTTTTAAAACAAAGACAAAATTGTAAATGTAATCAAGACGTTTCGTGCGAAACTGCGAGAAATGTCTACTTTCTCATTGCAGAAAAAATATAGCGAAGACTTGAGGATTAACGATAAAGAAAGTGGAATCGAATAATGAAAAAAAACACGATTTGGACCTAAATTTCACCAGTTCAAATGCTTTCGACGTTAAAATACTCGTGTGACAATTGGAGTACGTTGGAGTAATGGATAGCGACTCGGATTGAGGAATCGGAGTGCCGAGTTCGAAATCCACTTGAGTCCATTATATACATATACGTGCTAATACCCTTTTCTCTACAACTATGGGTAAATGACAAGACAGACCGAGTTCTGTAGCCTGCATGGCAACTGGTCTACCGCAGAAAGAAATTGCAACCTACTGCGCGAAATAAATCTACCTTGTCAGTCATGTATCGAAAGATACATGATCGTTTAAGCGTGTATCACGCATTGCACATAACGGACTGATATTAATCTAACATGTTTCCCTTTTGTATTAAAGCTTCATCTTGAGAATGAGATTATAATAATGACATACTCACAATACTTCAAATTGAAAGCTTACTGAGGAAACTTTTATCAGTACTGGAAAGAGCGATAACAGCTACTGGATTTAAGAAAACTACTGTAATGTTACTCTTGGGAAAGGTATGAATCCTTGTTTTCTCCCCGTCCTCAGCTAGAGGTAAATAGAATGACGGACCTGGTTCTATAGACTTGGATGGCAACTGGTCTACCGCAGAAAGAAATGGCAACCTACTGCAAGAAAACATATGCCTCGTCAGACATGTATTGAAATATAACTCATCGCCTAAGCGTGTATCACGCATGCCACAAAACTGACTACCTGACTGACTTCCCTTATCCCGAAATTTCCAATTATTCAAATGTTTAAGTTTAAATGGATTCGTCTAATATGTCTTAAGCATTATATCATATTTTGAAGTAAACCACTCATAAGAGAAATGTTGTCAATATTTTTTAAAAAGTTCCTATTACAACAATCACCATAATTATTATCTATGCTTTGATCATCTGTATTAATACTAGTCATAATAGTGCTAGTAGAAGTATTAGTACTACTACTACTAATGATACTACTAATAATAATACTTATAACGAAAAGAAAAATTGACTAAAATTCGTAGGAATGAAAATCATTAAAACGACAGAATTAGTACAATCGGAAAGCTTAAATTTTCTCATTCCACTTGTATCAAAAATCAATTTGTGCAAAATAACACTAGCAGAAATAGACATATTGAAGCGACAATATCATTTGTTCAATTTCCCGAAATCTTCACGCATCAAATATTTTTCAAATTAATCTTACTCATATACAAGCATATATATATATATATATATATATATATATATATATATATATATATATATACATAGATAGATAGATAGATAGATATAGATATATATAATCAGTGATGCGGTATAATGGGTTAACAAAGGATCGCGTGAACCGTTAACTAAAGTGACACAAAACCGGTTCTTAGATTCTCTAGGTCTTTCTAGTTACCGAGAAAAACCTATGAAAGAACCGGTTCCTATTTTCATAGAGAAAAGAAAAGTCTATAAAAGTAGAGAGAACCCCATCTTAATATATATATATATATATATATATATATATATATATATATATATATATATATATATATATATATATATATATATATATATATATATATATATACAGATACACACACACACACATATATACAGATACACACACAGACATACATATATATATACAGATACACACACATACATATATATAAATATATATATACAGATACACACACACATATATATATACAGATACACACACACACACATATATATATATACAGATATACACACATACATATATATAAATATATATATATATATATATATATATATATATATATATATACAGATACATACACACACATATATACATATATACAGATACACACACATAGATATAAAATATATATATATATACAGATACATACGCACACACATATATATACAGATACACACACACAGACACACATATATATATATACAGATACACACACACACACATATATATATATACAGATACACACACACACATATATATATATATACAAATACACACACATACATATATATAAATATATGTATATACAGATACACACACACACACATATATATATACAGATACATACACACACATATATATATATACAGATATACACACATACATATATATAAATATATATATATATATATACAGATACATACACACACATATATATATACAGATACACACACACACACAGACACACACATATATATATACAGATACACACACACATATACATATATACATACACACACACACATATATATAAATATATGTATACACACACACACACACACACACACACACACACACACACACACACACACACACACACACATATATATATATATATATATATATATACAAGTTCCACGATATATACAAGTTCCACGAAACTTTATGTATTTAAGAATTATAATTAGAGAACGTGTGCACAGTTTTGAAAGACGAATGTTCTGAACAAAAAATAATCAAATATAATCAAAATAATAACTAAAAATAGTCAAAATAATAATTAAAAATAGACAAAATAATAATTAAAAATAGTCAAAATAATAATTAAAAATAGTCAAAATAATTATTACAAATAGTCAAAATAATAACTAAAAATAGTCAAAATAATAACTAACAATAGTCAAAATAATAATTAAAAATATTCAATATAATAATTAAAAATAGTCAAAATAATAAGTAAAGATAGTCAAAATAATTATTAAAAATAGTCAAAATAATAATTAAAAATACTCAAAATAATAATTAAGTATAGTCAAAATAATAATTAAAAATAGTCATTTTAATAACAAAAATTTTCTAAAGATAGATTCAATAGGGTTTACATATACTGTATTCTGAAAGCTTTTGGTGGGTTGGGCTATTGTATTTCTTCAATTAAAACAGATTGTACAGCATCACAAATAACTTTACAAAGTTCATATCTTGCTGTCTGCCAGTTTAAAATACCCCCTTCAGAATATTCCAACATGGTTATGGGCGCATAAACATAGGTGCCACTTCATCTAATTTATTAATTATGTTACTTCGTCTAATAATATGGAACAGTATCACGCATAAAAATCTTATCATCGAAAATTATTTATCATCTTGAACCAAGGCTTCGCGTGCGTCTTTAATAAATTTTAATGTCCATTGAATCATCTTATAGGTCAACAACTTTACCACCAATAATCCTATTACAATACATTCTCTCCACATCCGCCTTGTTGATGACACAAAGTGTGAGGGCAATTAATGCCAGTAACCAAAAAGTCTTTGTTTCGTACGTCTAACATATAGAGTGTCGTACAGCATTTGATGACGATAATAAAAAATAAATCTATTTTATTGCTGTTTCAATTTGATTTTACTTATGGGTATAATTTATATAAGTTTTCAGGGTCAGTTTCATTATGTCTGTAAATATGAAATGTGTTTAACCTCGCTAAGGTAAGTTTTGTTCTGGCAAAGCAAAATTTATTTTTTGGATCACGTTGGTTCGTCAGTGAAATATGTCAAATTAAAAGTGATGTGTTGGGGTGACTGTGATAGGCTGTTCGTCGGAAAAGTACAGAATAATCCGGCTAACGGTAACTCCACCATGACAACGGATCTGACTATTCAGCTCATTTTGTGCAAAAGTCTGTGGCCAAATATAATATTTCACAGGTCCAACAACAAGCATATACTCCAGATCTCGCCTCTTGCGACTTTTTCCCATTTCCAAGAATCAAATCCCCCTTGAAAAAAACAAGGTTTCAAGATGTCGATCAAATTCTAGAGAATGCGACAAGACAGCTGCTCGCTATCCCAAGAAAGGAGTTTCAAGAATGCTTCCATCAATGTAAACGATTCTGGATAAAGAGTGTCACTTCAGGAGGGGACTACGTCGAAGGAGATTAAATGCTGAATTGAGATATGCTGTCATTTTCTTTTTATAGCGGCAGTCCTGATAATTTTGGTCCGTTTTCAGATATTCAGTTATCAGAAACAGTATCTCTATCTATAAAAGGCAGGATGTGTTTGTGTGTAACGAATGCACGGCCGCAATTTTCGACGGATTTGCACCAAAATTTACATGCACATGCTCGAATTTAGCGGGAAGGCCAAGACCGACGTTGCATTTCCCAACTCCCACCGATAGTGGAAATAATCGATTTTTCATGCTTCTACGTCAGTTTTCATGTACTTTGCGGACATTTTCTACTGGCCACAGTGAGAGCCTATAGCTGGCTGCCACGAATAGGCAGCAAAAAACATCGATAGCTGCATTTGTCACAAGTGGGAAAAGTTTAAATCTACATGGCACTTTACTCCAATTGGCTCATTCCCTTACTTAAACTCAACGTTGATTCTGATTCCGCAGAACTGGGTTGGGTGTGAAAAAGTATTTGTTGTTAACATTCTTTTTTCATTCGGTTTTTCCAGTTACAAGTCCATTTTAAAGCTGATCGTTTTGTGTTCATTTTGTTTAGTTCTTTTTTCGTAACAGATTTAATGCTAAATATTAAATCTGTTACGAAAAAAGAACTAAAGAGCTTACAAAAAATTCGCAGTGTGAGATAGGCAAGAAGTAAGGCATGTAGCAACATCAGCACGGCAAAGGGCACTCCTTTAAAGGCAAAGAAGGGCAAAAATATTTTAAGTCAAGTGATAGCGATTGCTGTATGAGTCGCACTATTTTTTAATCAAGCACGGGCAACGCCGGGTCATGCTGCTAGTTAGTTATATTATTATTTTAATGATTAAACTAAAAAATTGTTATTATTATTTCCTTGGATTTCTGTTGTATACACGTTTCCTTTCGCGTTATATCTAATGAACTAAGATCAGAAATAGCTTAGTGATATTTTTCACTGATCATTTTTGGGGAAAAAAACAAACTAATATCACACACATTTTACATAGGTAAAGCTATTCGTAATGTCTGAGCAGAAATGTGTGAGTACACTTTATTTGTATTTCTTTAAGGTATAGGCGACCAGGAAAGCATTCAATGAGTCTATCGGAACTTTTTACAATCAATCCGAGTGCTCCTACTACAACTGGAATTACTGATGTCTTCCTGTGCTACATTTTTAACATTTTCATTTCAAGATTCTTATGTTTTGATGGTATTTTTGAAGATCTTCGAAGATACATTACAATTTGCAGAGATTGCCATGTCAATAAGAAAGCAGATTTTTTTGTGCTCTTTGGTCACCGTGTCTGGACTGTTAGATTTGATTGTTCTGTCTATGTGTATTGTAAAGGCCCATAAAATTGTTACAGGTCCCATCTCTGTAATCGGGTCTGGGTGATGTTCAAACCAGTTTCTTGCAGGTTTCTTCCTGAAAAACATGCAGATATTGACCAACTTCATCATACCGGGTTTTATATTCAGTGGGTGCTAACACTGTGCAAATTTATACAAGACTTTCAATTGCTTCTGGATATTTATCATAGAATCTGCATATCGGTTTGTCAATACAGTTTTTCAATGTGTATGTGCTTGGTAATTTCTAGTTAACAAGCATTGGTCATGTTCAGCAATAATAAAATCTTAGGTTTCAGTTTTTAACCCTGCACTACGTAACAACTTATGGATGTGGCGTTTGTCGACATCAGCTTGATGGGTACGGAAAAAATATTGACCATAACGGAGCTTATCTTATCATAGTTCCTGCAAATGGTACATTGTATTTACATTTGCTTTTAATTTATAGTTTTTTTGCGTTTTTTTTTTTTGCGCTTCCTCATCCATTTGAATTATCTTTTTGAATTTGTTTTCTTTTATTAGTAAATATTTTTTCTTATTTCTTTCATGTTCTTTGAGATAGATCATCTTCTGTAGTCTCCAGGTATTTATGAAGATCGATTGTCGTGGTTTTGTAAGACAGTTCTACTTGAATTATTTCTTTGCCTCATTCGGATCAAGAGACATGCAGACGATCACCATCAGTCTTAGAACGACGCATGCGGTGGCAAGTGAGAAGCTGTCTCGTTTTGAGATCTATTCCTTAATGTCAGTTATTGTCCAATTATTGATGCTGAAACTGTATTCCACCACAAGGACAGCCAACGTGTTATATGAATTCAACTCGGTATTTAACACCAGACGCACACGCCTGTAGTATTCTTTTCTGGTGTTCTCCTTCATTTGTGTATACTGTATTGCTGACCCCTAGGTATTTATAGGCTTCTTCTTGTTCCAGTTCCCTAATCTTTCTGAGAAAATCTATTGAGTGTATTTCTGTAATTCTCCTTTTCTTGAATGTTACTTTTGCACATTTACCTAATACGAAATCCATAGCTTCATCACTGAATCATTTTACTGTATTGGAGATACCCGTCCACTCATTGTCGCCTTTGGCAAAGAGTTTGATATCATCCATGTAGAATAGGCGATTAAACACTTTCTTTTTTTACAATGTATCCATAATTGTTACTGTTTAGTTCATGCGAAAGGGGTGATTAAAAACAGACAGGACGGAAGTGGTGACAGGTTGTCTCGATCAGAGATTTTTCCTCGGATATTCAATCAACTGGAAGTGGCAGTACTTTTTGTGGGATTTAGTTCAAATGTGGCCTTCCAGTGCTATGCTATATTTAAGGCAATTTACTATCTACGAGGAGACTTTGTACGCTTCCAAAGCCTTAAGGTTCCAAGAGTGTGGCCAACTTTCAAAAGGCTTTACAGTAATCTACCCATGCTATGCTGAGATTTCTACCTTTTTCCTGTAATTTTCCAGGATCATTTTCTTTATTAGTAGTTGATCTTTGCAACAATATGAAACTCTTGGACATCCCTTCTGTATCATCATCATCATCATTCGATTTCTGCTATGGTCACACAATCTATCAAATCTGCGAAAAGACCTAAGGCTGGTAGTGGTGTGTCATAGCTGCAGTTCATGCTTTCTTTTTCTAAATGCCATAACATCACTAGCGTTACATAGACAAAGTTATTCTTAGTCTGTGGGATGGACTTATCAAGACATTTTTTTTTGCATTTCTCTGAGATTTCCAGTGATTTTTTTTCAATGTGTTGTTGTGTTCCTTTTTACTATTATTATTATTATTATTATTATTATTATTATTATTATTATTATTATTTTCTTTGATTTCTGGCGTTTACACATTTCTTTCCGGGTCCCGCCCAGGGACCTAAGGTTAGAAATGGCGTCATGACACTTTACACTGACAAAAAAAAAAAAAAAAAAAATTAAATTACATAGATAAAGCCCTTCGTAAGGTGTGGGCTGTACTTGTCAGAACAATTTTTTGTATCTCCTTGAGGCATGGACTTCCAGTAATCCCTTCAGTTAGTCTACTGCAATCTTTTCCAACCAGTCCTAGGGCTTATTATTATTATTATTATTATTATTATTTGTGTATGTTATGCTCCCTGCTTTGTATCCGGTAGAGCTGGGTCCATACTATGATCTTTAGGCCATATTGGAAAATTGTCATTTTATTATTATTATTATTATTATTATATTTCGATTTCTGCTATGGTCAAACTACCTACCAAGTCTGCGAGTAGACCTAAGGTAGGTAGTGGTGTGTTGTTTTGGCTAGATTTCATGATTTGTTTTTCTAACTCCCGTAGCATTACTAGCTTTACATGGACAAAGTTCTTCTTAGTTTATGGACTGTTCTTATCAGGACATTTTTTGTATTTCTTCTTCTTTTTCTCCTTCTCCTCCCCTTCCTTCTTTCCCTCCTCCTCCTCGTTATTATTATTATTATTATTATGATTATTATTATTATCATCAGCATCACCACCCGAGACCTAGTGTAAGGTAAATTAGCAAATATATGAGTTTTGTTGCACAAATTCTGATGTTAAGTAATACTTAACATCTACAATTTTCTTTACATTGATAATACTCTCCTGTGTAGATTAGAAGTTCCAGACAGTTTCAGCTTTATGAATTACTTGTTAACACGGACTGTCAAAAATCTGGTTATTGCATTTTCAAACTTTTTAGATCGAATCCAGTTTTCAAGTTATTACAATAATTTCAAACTCAGTATTTTTATATTTAATTATTATTACTTATTTGTATTTTTATTATTTTCATTATATTTTATTTTAAAATTATTATTTTGGTTGCTATTATTATTGTTAATATTTATTATTATTATTATTATTATTATTATTGCTGTTGTTCTTGTTGATGTTGTTTTTGCTGTCTTTGTTTTTGTTGTTACTAACAGTTGTGTGTTTTGTGTTCTTGTTTTAATGATGGCGTTAGAAATAATGGATGTAGCACTTTGTGAACTGGTTTATTCAAGTTATTTTGTATCGTTCTTCGTTTGCTAATGTCCATATATTCGATGCATTGATTGATATATAATCAATAGAGGTCCATTATGTTGATCTCTGTACTGCTGTCTTCCCTGCTAAAGTAAATGGCCATAAAAAAAAATAAAAGGCAGAAAGCAGAAGTACGCAGAAACAACAGGGTGTGTTTTGTTTTCAGTCATGAATTGGTGTGAGAATCAAAGATGCGCATGCGTGAGATTACTCCTGTGGCGCGGGTGGGGGGAAGCGTTACAATGAACGGAGGGAGAGAAAAAAAAGATAGAAAAAGGCAAATGAGAAAATCAAGAAAAAAATTACGAAAATATTTTGCAAACCATATCAGCTGAAAGGGAAGGAAGAAAGATATAAGAATATTAGAGAATATATATATATATATATATATATATATATATATATATATATATATATATATATATATATATATATATATATATATGAATAAAGACAAGGGGAAAACTTATCGTTTCGTGCAGTGATGGAGAACTTTTTTATAATTCTAGTTATAGATTAATTGATGTTTACATAGTTTTCATGACAAGTTTTGAAGTTCACTGTTTTCTTTCAATTAAAAAAATTCTAGTCATATATCAGGGGTGGCCAAACCGCGGCTGACGAGACACATGCGGCTCTCTGAACTTTAATATATGACTGGTAGAAAATATGTTGGCTCATCTTTTTTCATCACAGTTAATATAAAACGTAAAAAAAATTTAAAGCTTTATAGCTATTTACTGAGTAGTAGCTGAAACGCCATTGGATTAAAATGTAAGTTTAATATGTATAGAACAAAAAGGTATATGCAAATTTTCTTAATATCCTGCGGCTTTCATATATCCGAACTTTATCGTATGGCTCTCTTACATTAAGCAAGTTATATATATATATATATATATATATATATATATATATATATATATATATATATATATATATATATATAAAAAAATATTGTAACAAAATGTGCATCTGTCTACATTTCTGAGCTGAGGTAAGGTATTGTAATTATTTACATTGTTCGGACTGTTCCACTGGGCCACGTGTCCTTAAGGACAAGTGACCCCGTGGATAAAAGCGTTGGTTGGATACACTGACTTGGTCCAAAGAGTTGAGATTTCAATACTTGGCTACTGCAGTGGTGAATAAAAACTTGGAGTGTTGAGTTAAATGGAGATAACCTACACATCGGCAAGAGGCATGGCACGTGGAACTAAAACTATCTACTCCAGTAGACGAAATAAAGGATTCAGTTCAAAGTTCCAATCGCCTGTAGAAGGCCGGGTTGTACAATGGCTGAAACGTGAATATAGCAATAAAGATGAGGACAATATTCCGAACAATGTAAATAATGTTAATAAAATTTGTATGTAACAAAAACATATGCGTAAATATTGTTCATGACTTGCGGCTCTGAACCATCTGAACTTTATCGTATGTGGCTCTTAAATTAAGAATTTGGCCACCCTGTCATATATATTGGCATGGAAGAATAAAGCTTTTAGAAAAGGATTTATAAATAAAAAAATGTTCGGGGTGCACATTTGTATTTTGGTAAGATTCAATAACGGCTCCGCCAATAATTTTCAGTGTATGTAAGTTACTTTCTCTTTTCATAAGTGTAGCATTCTTTAGATCAACGATTTGATTAAACTTATTTCTTTGTAAATAAAATGCTAAAATGATATAAATTATAATTGCATTATAATATAAAAAAAAACAATAATAGTATTTACTCACTTTCACTTATTAGACACAAAATTACATCCATTAGTGTCCTCTATAATTTATTATCAGCTTCATATATTTTTATGAGCGTTATAAAATTTAAAAATTCTGAAAAATTAATGACATTTTTTATTGCTGTTTATAAATACATGTTGCAAAATAAAATCCTTACATTTGCCTTGATAGAGCCAGTTAGAAGACAAAACGCGTCGGGTAAGATAAATTTAACTTTTGTCTTTATTATTCAGATTTTTTCGGATATATCAGATCATATTTAAATTTTTACATAGATAGATCGGCAGACAGACATATCTGAAGAGACTGTGATAGATAGATAGATAGATAGATAGAAAGAAAAGAAAGAAAGAAAGAAAGAAAGAAAGAATTGAAGAGACTGTGATAGATAGATAGATAGATAGATAGATAGATAGATAGATAGATAGATAGATAGATAGATTTGAAGAGACAGTGATAGATAGATAGATAGATAGATAGATAGATAGATAGATAGATAGATAGATTTGAAGAGACTGTGATAGATAGATAGATAGAAAGAAAGAATTGAAGAGATTGTGATAGATAGATAGATAGATAGATAGATAGATAGATAGATAGATAGATTTGAAGAGACAGTGATAGATAGATAGATTTGAAGAGACTGTGATAGATAGATAGATAGAAAGAAAGAATTGAAGAGATTGTGATAGATAGATAGATAGATAGATAGATAGATAAATAGATTTGAAGAGACAGTGATAGATAGATAGATAGATAGATAGATAGATAGATAGATAGATTTGAAGAGACAGTGATAGATAGATAGATAGATAGATAGATAGATAGATAGATAGATTTGAAGAGACAGTGATAGATTTGAAGAGACAGTGATAGATTTGAAGAGACAGTAATCGATAGATAGATAGTTAGATTTGAAGAGACAGTGATAGATAGAAAGAAAGAAAGAATTGAAGAGACTGTGATAGATAGATAGATAGATAGATAGATAGATAGATAGATAGATAGGGAAAGAGAGAGAGAAAAAGATTAGAGTATACAGAGCAAACGATAGAAAATCGCATCCCAATACAAATACCATGAATCGACAAAAGGAAAATTGAAAAACAATATTTCAGAATCGTGAAAAAAACAATTCATTCTTTCTATTCTGCAGTGGTGATAATAATAATCGTCATTTTATTGACGTTGTTTGCACTTATTTACATGGCCGACTAATGTTTCTTATCCGTTACTACCACAGCGTTTCGGTCTTTGTGTCTATCCGGCCTTCACCAGGTTTATGTCGACCCGGGTAAGCTTCGGGGAATTTTGAACTGAACCATTTATTAATCTAGGACTCTAAGCTGTTCTCGTTCCACTGCACAAGTCTATGTATATCTCGTCAATTTATTATTTTTAGGGCTGCTCTGTTATTGCTCGTCTCGTTTCAATAGATTCCAAATTAATTGACCAAACCAGGTATTGAATTTGCAATTAGTACGTCACCAGTTTCCTGAACTAACTATTTAATCCATTTGGCTATTGACCCGTATCGATAATTATGAATATTAAATTTATCAGAGATATCATGCTATGCTTTTAGCATTATTTTTGAATGCTCTAAAACATAAGACGCCAAGTTTAATTTCCTGGGCACGTGGTTGGTTCCCTGTGCCTCTCTTGCAAGTACTTGGTTCCCCCGACTATGCTTTACCATTACAAAAGGTAAATCTAGCCGAAAATGGAGTACTACTGCCATATATGAACAGCTGCTCCATAGTCTTTGATTTCCAGTATCGATAGAGTCCAAAAGTTCCTCCGTTTCCTATGAGCGCATGGCCAAGTGGTTAGAAGGTTTGCTTTCTAACCATGAGACCCGGGTTCGAATCTCACTAAAGTCGATTTGTCAGGAAGTAGACATCCTGATGTTATTGGTCTGGAGCGGGGACGATCCCAGTGTGCGAAGTTCTTAGTTTGGAATATGATTGAAAACCATGCCACGAGTCGGCCCGATGCCGTGTCAGTGAAATTGGGTAGAGGAAACACTTGTGGCTGTCAATAGCTGTACTAGCACAAAGTCACAAGTCATCGCGACAAAGAGTTTGAGTGTGCTGGTGTTATTCAAATTGTTGATCATTTTAAGTAACATACTCTCTCCAAGAAACTGGAGCTAAAGTCTGCTCAGCATATTTGCAGTATAAACCACGGGTTAGCTCTGTTGGTGTTGAACAAACGCAAATGCGCAATGGAGTCTGCAATAGGGATTGCCCAGCCGCCCTAATAGACAGGTGACAGGTATCCTCGAATACAAGTGGCCAGCTATATATATATTTATATATATATATATATATATTCGGGGGAAAGAATTATTTTACACCCTGCAATCCCTTTCTCAGAGACGAGACATCGCAGGTCTCTCGCTGATCTATCGCTCTTTCCATGTAAACTATTCCAATGTATTAGACTCTTTAGTTCCACCTGTCCTAACCCGATATGCCACGCCCATTTTTGGCGAACCATTCCAATTCTCTTTATATCCCCTTGGTGAGATGTTAGTTCCGCTCAAGCACCTTTTCCCGCCACGAACCGTCGTCTTTTTTTAAACGAATCCCAAGAGGTTGCTCCCCCGATTACTACGACATTAACCTATTCAAGTCAAGGATTATCAGTTATCTTTCTTACATATCAACATAAGCTGTAGCTCCTACTTTGTAACCCTCTACCTTGTGTGGCTCCAAGGCTTAGTACAGAGTAGACACAACTGTAAAAAAAAAGCGACGAATTATTTTTCAACCTACAACTTCTTTCTCACAAACGAGACGTCGCTAGATTCTAGCTGCTCTATACCTATTTCCATAGAATGTATTAAAATGAGCTACACTTCTTAGTTCCACCTGTAGTGACCCTCACGGCTAAGACCCGCTTGCTACTCACATTGCAACCACACTCGTTTCTTTGCTGAGATATAAGTTCCACTCAAGCAGCTACTTCCCACGGAGCAAAGCATTGTGAAGCCGACTCTGAAGAAGATATTTCGCTAATTACAACAATCTGAACCTGTTTAATTCTAGGGATAACCAATTTTAACCTATCCGCATAAAACGCGTTTCTTACTCTGTAAACATCCTCGAGTGGCCTTCGGGCTTTTTACAGATCATTGTACGAAAAAATAACAGACATTTCAACCTATTCCTAACTAATGCTTCTGGTGTGAAGAATAGAAAAACAATAATTATTATAATTTCTTAGAATAACAATCTCAGCTGAGGAATTTGTTCATGGAAATATTCTTATATAATAACCGTTGTGTTTTCAATATTTCCATGTAAAATAACACCAATTTACAAAAGGATTAATGGATTGCCACTGGAAAAGAAAAGAGGTGTTTTGTTATATTTGGCATTTTTTAACCCTTAACAAACCGGTGTTGTGTTCTCGGATGACCGCACACCGACATTTTTAATGATCTTTTTGCAATTATAACAACTAATTTTTTCTTGATTTTGGATCCCCTCGGGACCTCGCTTGTGATATTACGTTACAATTTTAGATTATCAACTCTTGTCTTTTTTACAGGTTTTGAACGTTGCAAATTCTGAAAAATATCCCGCCAACAAAATCTCAGATACAATTTTTCGGATGCGTTTGATGTAAATGTCCCGGATGATGTATTGAGCAAATTTGATGAAGATTTTATTCCAGAAGGAGATGCATTTTAAGCGGTAGACAATCTTGAAGTGGTTTTTGAATAAACCGACATCGCCAGCGAAAATTCTGATGGAAAATCCGATGAAGAACTGCAAAAGCCTGAAGGAAATGGACTATTTCTGTGCCTCCCGATGAATCGCCGTCGCCAATCTAACATTGTCAGAAGATCTCCCGGGTAACTAATGTCCCAACGGTTATGTCGAAAGTTATCAACGTGGTCTTTGATGACCAAATTGTAGATACTATAGACACACTCAGCAATACTGAAGCGTTACATGTTGTTCAAGAATGAATCAGAATTTAGATAGATGTAGATCCTGTGGAAATAATCTTGCTGATTGCTGGAGCTCTTCGATGCTGAAAGGAAATCATTTCTGAAATGTGGACAACTGATGAGAACATTCTCCGTGGAGTTTTTACTTCTGCCATGGCACAAAACAGATTTGCGTACATCTTTCAGATTATCAGGTTTGACGATAAATTAACACGGGATCAGTGAAGGGCAAACGATAAACTTACAGCTGTACGTGATGATTGGGATTGGTTTGTAGAAAATTGCAAGAAGCTTTTCGAACCATGTGAAGACATTACAGTAAATCAGAAACTCGACGCATTTTGTGGCAGATGTCCAATGAAATCTGAATCAGCAAAATATGGGATCAAGCTCTGGGCCACTGCAGATATGAAGACGTAATATTTGTGCAACTTGCAAGTCCACATTGGAAAGTTTCCTGGAAATGCACAAAACTTGGGACACGACGCAGTATGTGACTTGAGGAATCATTGTTTGGATCTGGTAGAGGTGTGAATACGGACAATTCTTTTTTTTAAGTCCGTGCCAACTGCAGAATTTTTGTTGCAGGAAAACAATATTATTACAAATGCATTAATAGGAAAACATCCTGGCATTCCTGTAAAGATGGAAACTGCAAAAAGTAGAGACCTTCTTTCATCGAAATTCATATTCACAGATGGAGTAGCAGTGGCCAGCTACATCCCAAAGAGAAACAAAATAGTTCGTGCATTCTCTGCTCATTTTCTTGATTCACTATCCAATGAATCGCAAGAAGCCTAACATGAGATTTGAATGCAAACGCACTAAAACCGGGGTGGATAATGCCGACAAAATTATAAGAGGATATTCTTGTACCAGACGTAGCTCAAGATGGCTCCTGAGAGTTTTCATGAACATGCTAGGTATTAGAGCCCTAAATACTTTTATAATTTGGGGGAAAAAAAACAAAGACTGGGACCGCCGCTTGAAAAATCGCACATATCGATTCCTATCAGAATTTGGCAAAGAACTGACAAAGCCTAATATTCTGCGCAGGGCAAGCAATCCAAATGGTCTTCATCTTCCAGTTGTCAAAGGCAATTGAATCTGCGGTATATTTACTGCGCACAACTCTGCAGCACACAGCACACCACCAACATCGAATCAGTAGAAGAGCCACGAGATGGGAAGATGCCCCATATTGTCCTAGAAACAGCAATCGGAAAGTCAACACAATCTGCAGTGAATGCAAACGTTTTGTCTGTGAGACAAAAGAAGACCAGCACAACTATGGCATATGCTAAGGACTGTAGCGATAGCAAAAGAGGAATCTATACCATTTATTTTAGTGAAATTATATAGATGTTTTTTTTTATATTATATTGTATTCAATCGGAATGTAAAAATGTCACCACTTTTATGGATAAGAGTATATGATTTATATGTTGTTACTATTACTACTATTGAAATAAATTAAGTATAGTTGAATAAAATATGTTGAAATATAATTTCAGAAACCGAGAAAACCTATTTTGAGTAATCTACCGTAACATACACTGAGAAATAAAACAAAATCATGGTGTCGTCAATGCTTTTTACCAAGCATAATTTCAATTTAGGCTTCATATGTTAAAAAAACAGTTGAAACCTAATCTGAACAAAATAAACTACGAAATCTCCACAAATATTCTTACATGCCTATAATTAATAACAGAAATTATGGAGCGCATTCTTTTTCTATAAAAGAACATTTTTCGCTCAACACTTCTTCAAAAAGATTCGGTGGAAAAAAAACATACAAAAAATATTACCAGCAACGAATTTGAACGAAATTGAAATATTTCGATTAATTTATGATTATTTTTTATGTTTGTTTTTTCCACTGATTCTTTTAAAGTTTTTAAAACAATGTATAAATCCTGAGATATAAATTTGCTGTTCAATATATATATTCTCAAGCAGGTATTTATGCATATGATGCTATCATTAACTCCTGCCTCAATAGCAAAAATAAAAACCTGGCCGCAACTCTTTAAAAGACCTCCAATCAGTCGTTAACTGGTGCAGAAAATGGATTGTAAATTTTAATAGCTCCAAAAGTTAACTGCTCTTATTTG